CCGTCTTGATTGGACGGCGGCCGCACACTACGGTCTGCCGCCGGGACACATTACACCGGCGCCCGCAACTTCCACACAAGGTCACCGCTGTAGCCCCTCTGCACTCTGCCGCCCCGAGGCCGGGCCTCGGTGGCCTTGTGGGAAATCCGGGCCTGAACACAGAGCTCAGTAATAAATAAGTCAAGGCGAGAGAGTGGGGGGGAAGGCCAGTGGGGGGTTGTGACGTGCCCCTTCCCGGCCTTGGGCCCTCAGGCAGTGCCCAAATGGTCAGTCCACCTCTAGTGGTCCTCAATGCTCCATAGAACAGGAACAAGAAGTCATCAAATAATGCTGACATATTTCAACTTGGAAGAGGACCAATGACCGGCAAAGGATGTGGAGAGGCTAAGTAGTACTTTTTTTTTAACTTTTTTGAACTGGAAGGGAAGCAAAGAACTTGGGATGGGGGTTAGGCCCAGAAGGTAAGTTGGGTTTTAACACCATCAACATCATAATAATAAAAATATTAATAATAGTATTAAGGCACCTTTCAATGGGATGCTGAGGTCCTGCATTGCACTGTGGGATGTACCATGGGGGCAGGCAGAAACATCAATCATTTTGCATACCACTGGGCTCCTGTGTTCCAGGGGTTCTTGGTACCAAGGCCCACTGCTTGTCATTACCTTTTTTAGTGTCATGTGACAGTTTTTCTAAAACAATACAGACTAACGATTTTAGGACAGTGGTGGAGTGCCAGGGCCTGGTCGCAACTGCAACCGCTGCAACCCGGTAGTTCTGCCACTAACTTCAAATCTCAGCAATATATTGTACAGCAGTAGAGAATACCACCAATTATAGAGGGCTACAAATCCCAGCAATACAATATACAGCAATGCAGAATGCCACCAGCAATAGAGGACTACAAATCCCAGCAATACAATATACAACAATGCAGAGTACCATTAGCTATAGAGGACTACAAATCCCAGCGATACATTATACAGCAATGCAGAGTACCATCAGCTATAGAGGACTACAAATCCCAGAAATGCATTGCACAGCAACGCGGAATACCATCAGCTATAGAGGACTACAAATTACAGCAATACATTGTACAGCAATGCAGAATATAAAGCTACATATTCTGTGTAGCTCACCAGGGCTGTGTGGGGTCTCACCAGGGCTGTGCAGGGTCCCAGGAGGCTGCGCGTTGTCTGACCAGGGCAGTGTGGGGGTCTCACCATTGCTGTTCACGGTCTCACCAGAACAGTGCACAATCTCACCAGGGCTGTGCAGGGTCTCACCAGATCTGTGTACGGTTTTTCCAGGGCTGTGAGCAGTTTTACCAGGGCTTTGCTGGGTCTCACCAGGGCTATATGCGGTCTTTCCAGAGCTGTGCGCAGTCTTCCCAGGGCTGCGTACCGTCTCACCCGGGATGCGTGCGGTCTCACAAGTGGTGTGGATGGTCCCGCCAGTGCTGTGGGCAGTCCCGCCAGTGCTGTGTGCAGTCTCACCAGAGCTATGCACGGTATCACCAAAGCTGTGCACTGTCTCACCAGAGCTGTGTGCGGTCTCACCAGAGCCGTGTGCGGTCTCACCAGAGCCGTGTGCGGCCTCACCAGAGCCACGTGCGGTCTCACCAGGGCCGTGTGCGGTCTCACCAGTGCCGTGATCGGTCTCACCAGTGCCGTGCGCGGTATCGCCAGTGCTCTGCTCGGTCTCGCCAGTGCTCTGCTCGGTCTCGCCAGTGCTCTGCTCGGTCTCGCCAGTGCTTAGCTTGGTCTCACCAGTGCACTGCGCGGTCTCACCACTGCTGTGCGCGGTCTCACCAGAGCTACGTGCGGTCTCACCAGTGCTGTCGATGGTCTCAGCAGGGCTGGGCGAGATCTCACCAGTGCTGTGCACTTTCTCACCAGTGCTGTGCGCGGTCTCACCAGAGCTATGCGCGGTCTCACCAGAGCTATGCGCGGTCTCACCAGAGCTATGTGCGGTCTAGCTAGAGCTATGTGCGGTCTCGCCAGTGCTGTGGGTGGTCTCAGCAGGGCTGGGCGCGATCTCACCAGTGCTGTGGGTGGTTTTACCAGGACTGTGCAGGTGGGTGTGGGTGGTGAAGGAGGTGGGAAGGAGGAAAAGGAGGTTGCGGATGCACTGTAAATAGACAGGCGCCACAAGTTTCCAGCAAATGAGGGACCTTACGCCAGCTGAATACGTTTACAAATAAAAAATTGTCAGTTTTGGCGCTTAGTATTAGGGCATTTTTACAAGTATGCGTACTCCTGAAAATGCCCAGTATCGGCACCAAAACCGATACTGCTATCGGTGCATCCCTGTAAAAAAGGAAATCATGCTAGCTGTAAACTTCTCGTGGGTATTTGCTATAAACCTCTAAATATAGGGAAGAGGGAGAAGTCAATCTTCACTCACAGATTGGAATAGCTGGGAGAGAGGGCAATGTAGTCGTGATGGGTGACTTCAATTACACATAAAGACATCAATTGGGCCAATGCTGATTTCTTAAGGGACCGTAATATACAGGGGTACGGGTACTCCTAGAATGAGATCCTAATAGGTTGGACTTGATGGACTAATGTCTTTATTCAACCTCAAATACTATGTAACTATGCAATAATCTGTAATAACATGCTAAAAAAAAAAAGTAAAAAAAAACATGAAACACCCACATTTGCTCAGTTATAAACATACATACCTATGGTTGCTGTGTTTCAGACATATGTGAATGAATGGAGGGACGAGGGGGGGGGGGGGGGTACTTCAAAGCAGGGGATCAGAGCCTGTACTGTTTGCTTAGACTGGCCGCCCACCCATCCACGTCATCAGTTGCTAAGCAGTGGGCGGGTAAACAACTGTCCCGATCGCCAATCTCCACTGGCTGTCTTTCTGCAAGAAACACCAGGGGGGGACGGTGGAGACGAGGGAAACCAAGAGGATGAGGGGGGAATGAGATTATGGCAGCCTGCATCTAGGTAGAATTAGGAAGCAATCAGACGGGCCCCCTTATGGCCGCGGCCCCTCGGGCAGAACTCGAACGCCCGAATGGTCAGTCCGCCCCTGGTGTTGTTATATTGAGAAAACATTTACAAATGCAGCCTTTCCTTTGTTTTTTTCATGCCTATCTTTATCTTGGATAACCAGTAAATGTTTTTTGATTCTTTCTCAGGATGTTCTGAACGATAAAATATCTTATCCTGATGGTACTTTTATGGACTGGGAATTCAAAATCTCTGTGATGTATGATATAGCAAAGGTAAAGTTTATGAGATGAGTGTATAATTATGTTTAATTTGACTCAAAGTAGATTAAAGTAAACCTCTAATATAGAGAAACATTATTCTTCATTGTATGCACCATAAAGTGTGAGAGTACCTTCAGCATTAATGGTTCAACAATAATAGCAACCTGTGAGGTCAGGCAGTCGACAGACAGAATCTCTCAGACTTCAAGCGATCTCTGACCCCCTGATAAAAGCTTAATTGTCAAACTCAGACAGTGTTGGGTTAGGACTGCATCAGCAATTTTATTGTCATGCTTCTGAGAGGTCTAACATTTTGCCAACCATCGTTTTGTTAAAAGTACAGAATTCAGTGTCTGCTAACAAGTTGTTAAATATGTAATTAGCAAGAAATTAACATTGCCCCTGTAGCTGTATCCTAAGTAAAGCTTCTTGCATAAGCCTAACTTGATGTTTTATGATGAGGTAGAGAGGAGAGTTATTATAGTTTTAGGGTTATCAGGGGTCTCAGATGAGCAAGGTTATGTGTTCAAGCACCCAAACAAATTTTCCCTCAACAAAGCTGCATGAAGAAAAAAAATTCCCTGTGGCATTTTTTTTAGCAAAACAGCACACCACAATGCATGTTGTGTGCATTGTGGTGCACTGTTATGTATATTGTAGCAGGTCGTCATGCAGAGAGCTAGGAGAGGTCCTGTCCGGGGTCTATGTGTCACCCAGATTCCTCTCATACACCTCCCGGGACCTATAGTCAGCCCCACATTTTACACCTTGCCTCAATGGCAATGTAGGGCAGGTGAGGTAAAGTACTCCAGACAGTACTCTGGAGCCTGGGGAATAGACAGTGAGAATGTAAGAACAAAATGTACAGATAAAGTTCTGGTTTCAAAAGGAGGGACTTGGGTTTCTGTAACAGACTTACATCTCCAGCATTATGTGCTCGGTGGCTTCTCTCCCGGGCTGTCATGCTGCTCCTCCTTTCAAGCTGGCTTAAGCCACGATTTTCAATTGCTTGGCGTTTGTGCATTAGAGCAGACATAGTTAAATAGTTAGGTTGAAAAAATACACATGTTCATCGAGTTCAACCTATCGAGATATGAGAAAAAAAGAAAAGCCTAGACATAATACTATGCCCACAATTACCCACTGTTGATCCAGAGGAAGGCAAAAAAACCCCTATAAAACATGGTTCCATTTGCTCCAACAGGGGGAAAAAAATCCTTCCTGAACCCATTAGGCAATTGGATATTGCCTGGATCAACTCTGGTGCTTAATATACCTATAATAACTCTATTCCCAGTAATATTTTGTGCATTTACAAATACATCCAGATTTCTAAAAAACAATTAACAGAGCTAGCTAGCACTTGCTTCTGGGGGAGTCTATTCCACATTTTCACAGCTCTAACTGTGAAGAATCCTTTCTTGTATGCAAGGGTTGAACCTCTTTTCCTCCAGACCCGAAGAGTGCCCCCTTGTCCTTTGCAGTGACTTTAAAGTGAATAAGTTGGCACCAAGCTCACTATATGGACCATTTATACATGGTGATCATGTTCCCCTTTAATGGCCTCTTCTCCAGAGATAGCAAATTCAGGTCAGTTAATCTCTCCTCATAGCTGAGCTCCTCCATGCCTCTTATGAGTTTAGTCACCATTTGCTGCACTTTCTCCAGTTCCACAACATCCTTTTTGTGAACTGGTACCCAAAACGGAACTGCATATTCCAGATGAGGTCTCACTAATGCTTTGTACAGGGGCAGGATTATGTCTCTATCTCTGAAGTCTAGACCCCTTTTAATACAAGAAAGTATTTTGCTTGCTTTTGAAACTGCGGCTTGACATTGCATGCTATTATTCAGTCTATGATCTACCAGAACACCCAGATCTTTCTCCATCATTGACTCCCCCAAACATGACGCATGCATGTTTAGTCCCCAAGTGCATAACTTTACATTTATCAACATTAAACCTCATTTGCCAAATAGATGCACAATCACACAGTGTATTCAGATCTGCTTGTAAGTTGGAGACATCCTGTAAGGATGCAATGCAGGGTGCAATCTCTTGTGTCGCATGTGATGGAAAACCGGAAGTGAATTGAAGGGAAAGAAGCACGAGACAGGAGCCGCGAGCCGGGACGCCATCGCAGAACAGAGGGGAGAGCGGGCAAAGTGGGCGATCGACGAAGATCAGAGTGAAACCGGGGACTGCTGAAGCAGAGAGTGTGGGGTGATCGGTCGGTGCTGCGTGAGGAGAGCGAGTGGTCAACGAGTGGGAGAGCAGGTGCAGGAGCAGAGTGTATGGGGTGATCAGGTACCGCAAGCTGAAGTGTGACTCCGCAAGTGGAGTGGTGAGAGGGGTGTACTGAGGGTTAATAACTGCTGGGCATTAGAAAAAAAAGTGTGTGTATATATACACGGCTGGGTTTTAAATGCATTAATTGCTGGGCATTAATTGTATTATCTGTTGGGCATAAATTATATTATCTGCTAGGTATTGTACTATTGGCTGGGTATTACTTTATATTAATTAGATTATCTGCTGGGCATTAATTGTATTATCTGCTGGGTATTAATTGTACTATTTGTAATTGTACTATTGGCTTCGCGAAATTATAGGTTGGGCATTAATTATATTATCTGCTGGGTATTGTGTTATTGGCTGGGTATTATTTGTACTATTGGCTGGGTATTATTTGTACTATTGGCTGGGCATTAATTGTACTAACGGCCGGGCATTAATTGTATTATCAGATGAGCACTAATTATATTATCTGCTAGGTATTGTACTATTGGCTGGGCATTAATCAATTTATCAGCTGGGCATTGTGTATTAACTGCTGAGCATTGGTGTAGTAACTCCTGGGTATTAGTGTAACAACTCCCGGTTATTAGAGTAATATCTCCTGGGCATTAGTGTAATAGTTCCTGGGCATTAGTATAATAATTCCTGGGTATTAGTATAAAAGCCGCTTGAATACATCTGGGCCTAAAATAAATAACCAGTTAAATTTAAAAAAAATGTCTTCCATGAGTGGTTATGCTACCTGGTGCAAATCGTGCGCAATGTATGTGTTTCTTCCCCCTCGCGTTCGAGGGGGAATACTGTTGCGCTAGATGTGAGCTAGTTGTTTGTCTGGAAGCCCAGATTCTGGATCTAAACAACAAACTGGCAACACTAACCAACATGGAAAGGTGTCTGGACTTGACACACCAGGCTCTGGTGGAGGGCAGCATAGATGAGGGGGGTTTGCAGAAGCAGGATCCCGAGGTGAGTAGCTGGGTTACCGTTAGAAGGAGGGGTACAGGGAATAGTGCGAGAGAGGTCAGTCCTGAACTGATACACCCCAATAAATATGCCAGGTTGCAGGATATTGGGGTTATTAGTTCAGGGGTGACATTGCTGGAGCAGGAAGCCTCCTCTATCCGCAGGGGGAGTGACTGCTCTAGTAATGGTGGGAGCAGGATGGAGGGTCAGGAAAGACAGATCTTGGTGGTAGGGGATTCTATTATCAGACGGACAGGCAGGGTAACCTGCCATCGGGACCGTGAGCATTGAACAGTCTGTTGCTTACCTGAGGCTCGTGTTCGACACATCGCGGAATGAATGGACAGGTTACTGGGTGGGGTTGGGCACGACTCAGCTGTCATGGTGCACATCGGCACCAATGACAAAATAGGCAGATGGAGTGTCCTAAAAAGAGAGTTCAGAGACTTAGTTGCTAGGTTGAAGAAAAGGACCTCCATGGTAGTATTCTCCAAGATACTGCCGGTGCCATAAGCCACTCCAGAGAGACAGAGAGTTGAGGGAACTGAACAAGTGGCTTCGCAGTTGGTGTCGGAAAGAGAGCTTTGGGTTCCTGGAGAACTGGGCTGACTTTTCAGTCAGTTACCAGCTCTACTGCAGAGACGTGCTGCATCTGAATGGAGAAGGTGCAGCACGTTTGGGGGAGAAAATGGTTAGAATACTGGAGGAGCTTTTAAACTAGATAATGGGGGGAGGGAATAAAAATGGATATAAATATAGAGCAAGTAACTAAAGGGGCAATTAACACAGAGGGCAGTAATACAAAGGGGGATAGAGGGCTCACTCCAGTCAATCTAGTTAATCTAATGACTCCAATCGATCTAATGAATAACGTATCGACCATACCAAGGTCTAATAAAAAATGAGTAATAATAAAACTAAAACTAGCACCAAACTAAAATGTATATACACGAATAATAAACAAACCTGCGCTAATGGAAACACAGAACAAAGAACTGGACTAGCTAGAAGCTGGAAGCTGCTAAACTCAGGCGGTGAGCCTCAAAGGTTAATCAATACAAGGTAAAGCGCTAAAAGCCTCTCCGTGATACGCTCAAAAGTGCAATAGAGTGTTTAAGCAATAATAATCACATTATAATAAAATGCAAATAAATCGGACCTCTATAAGAGAAAAATTGTGAAAAAGTGCACAATATGTAAAAATTATGTATATATTTAAATAAATACATCACAAACTAATAATAAAAGGTTCAAGGAAAATATCTGTTCAAACCTCTCTCGGAGGAAAAAACAGGTGTGACTGTGAAGTGTCTAAACAAACTCAATTAAAGAACAAAATCATAAATAATGTTGCTAAATAAGTGATGTGAATTTATTTGCAACAAAAAACAGTTGCAGTGTATCAAAAAGGCAATTCCCATGTGAAAAAAGTTTCTTTTAATTCCTTGTGACTTGTCAAAAAAATCCCGAGAGAGAAAAAAAAGTAAATAGAAAGAAGTCTATTCTCTCTAAGGATAAAACAAACAGTGAAGTCCATGTGTTTCCCAGGAGACGATACTTCTGTGATGTGTCCGACAAAGGCAAAAGCCAAAAGCACTCACCAAAAGTAGGATGTTATCAAAGCAGTCAATCTCGCCAAGATGGAAGCCGGAACCCAACGTCCTCTCGTCCTAGGAACTGGCTAGAATCCCGCAGTCATCTCCCAATAAAGGCCATGAAGGAAGAGAGCAATGACGCTCATAGTGTAATA